GGGGCTGCCCCGAGCGCGGCGCCGGGAGGGGGCGGGAGCCGGTCTGTATGTGGGATCCGGCCCCGCGGGCGGGAGCGCTGCCGCGCTTCCCAAGCGGCGCACTATCCAGTGCGCCACTGGGCCGGCCCATGTTTTATAATTTTTAAGTTACTACATTGTGAATCATTTGAAAGAAAAACTATGTTCTTGGAAGCCTCCTGCTCTTTTCTGGTCACACTGGGACCTTGAACTTTTGCTCTCCTGGCACTAAATCAACTTCTTACTTCTCATTTGTCTGCATTTTTCCTTTTTTTACAAGTAGCTTCTCACTTCAAACTTCTCCTGTAAAGCATCCTCCACCGTCCTTATATAGAGGTCTAGCTCTTGACTTAGTTGTATGATTTAGACTTTAAATCCACAAGCTCTGTGTCCTGTAAAGCCCTAAACATTTTGCATAAATCCAGTGTAGAGCACTGTGTTCAGCATGCTTTAGGTAATCTATCTTTAAGAACTTATATTTATATTGGTTTGTGCTGCCATTTTTGTTACTTAGCATATTCAGCTATCTTACACCCCGTATACGCTCTTGCAGTTCTGTGCTTACCATGACTTTAGCTTCATAGGGAATAACTAACATAGAAATGAGGCAAGAAAGGGTGTGTGTCTGTATTAACTTACCTTCACTTTACTGCCATCTGAAGAAGAAACGTGCAAGAGAGTACGAGTCTCTTTGCCCCTCATCAGAAAGCCTACATTTCATAGAATGGAATATGCTCACACCTTGTTTTCCACTGATCTAATATTTTTAATAACTTACTCATTCCTTATGATAGGGAGACTTGATGATATTTGGGGATACATTAGCCTTCTGCTATCTTTTTTTTAGTGTACCAGTTTCTCCCTGTGAGATGCCCAACCCTTGAGCATAGCTTTTCTCTTTATAGTAGTTTCAGAGGCCACTATTCTCTCAGTCTTCCTTCTCAAATGTTGATGGTACACTCACCCATGTTAAGTGGTCTTTTCTCAGCCTTCCTCTGTGAACTCTGTCTTATTTGGCCCAGATGACAACCCATTTCTCTTTATTTCAGTGATCCTGGATTTTCTCTGGTTTCCTTCTGCTTCTATGCCATTCCCTCTCTGAATTCTTGTTGGCATTCTCTGGTTCCATGAAGGTGTGATCGTCCGTTGTCAGTCTCTGAATTAGCTTTGGTGTTTTATGTGTGCATCGCGTCCCTTCCTTCACCTTCAGTCAGCGGGTTCCCTGTGAGCCTGCATCTATGGCTCTGACTTGTCACCCTTCCCATGCAGCTGTCTGCAGAGCCCTCCACTCGATCTTCTTCCCCTGACACTTGTTCGTCCACAGCCAGTCCTCTGCATCTCTGCACAGTCTTTCCTGATGCTGCTTTCTGGGCTAGAAAATTGAGACAAGTGGTGGTTCATCTTTCTTGCTAGAGCTAATCCTTCATTTCTTTGATCCAGTTATTTCTTTGAAATGTCCATCAGATTTGTCCTTTCTTTTGCATGTATGGCATCATGATCCATGTCCTTATTACTCCAGCCAGGATTTCTCCAGTTAATCAGCTTATCTTGTATCTCTGTCCCCTGCAGACTGCGTTGCATGACACTGCTAAACTAACCTTTCTGATGTTACATCCTGCTACGTCTGCACAGTTACTCATTGGCTTCCTAACTCAATGCCTTCGTCATTGCAACAGTCTTGCTGCTATTTAATGATATCTGTAACCAGGTATTTAATGATACCTGTCACCACCTTGTAGCAGTTCTCAGGAGGGTAACTTTCCTTAGCATGAGGAGCTTTGACACCAGGAAATGAGCAAGAAGGCCGCAGAGAACAAGTAGAAAGCTTTACCAAAGCAAGCTTTCCATATTTTGTCATTTTCTTAGGTCCAACCTATAGCCATACAAAGGAAGCTCTTTGTCTTCTCTCTGATGTTGCCTGCTTGTAGGTCCCAGACCAGATGACACTAGAGTATTGAGAGAACCCAGTTGCTGTTTGTATTAGAAAATGTATTATGGCTTTCAAACAGCCAGCTGATAAATAATTTTCTCAAATTTTCCTTGTTAATCATTGTACTGCCTGTATAAATAAATGCATATATTCTCTTTTTTTAGTAAAAGAGTTTGCTTTTAATTCTTGATTATTTACTTTTGATCAGGAAGGAATAGAATTTAAAATTAGTTGATTAATGGAATGACGTGAAAAATCATTACTTATTTTACTAAGTTTTCTCTTTTGATTTCCTTTTTTTAAGCCTTAATTCCAGATACTCCAGAGGTCTTGAGTTTGTCTGCTGATTTCTCAACCTCTACATTATACCTAAAGTGGAATGACAAGGGTTCTGTTTTTCCACGTCATTCAAATGTCATCTGGGAAATCAAAATCCTACGTAAAGAGAGTATGGAGCTCGTAAAATTAGTAAGTCTGAAGAAAAATAGATTTTTTTTCTGTGACATTAAAGAAATTGAGTAATTTTTAAAAACATTTTGAAGGTGGTATTAGTGAACTTTTGGATTATTCAGGAAGTAGATATCTTACAGGGTTCAGTAAAATTTATATGCTGTGATTAAAAAATCACTTGTACATTATTAAAGTAATATGTAACCATTATAGAAAGTTTAGGAAATTAAGGGAGGAATAACCCATGATTCTACCACTTGAACCCAGAAAGCATTATCTTTGTGTATTCTTGTCTAGATTTTTGTATGCATGTTTTTACATAAAATGGAATGAAAGGGACATTTACTTTAGTCTGTTATTTTATCTTTGTCTAATACTATACATAAAAATAAATATTTAGAAACATACTTAGCCATGGTAATTGTTAAGAAATTTTATATACATCTGTAAGTTTGAATTTACCAGAATCTGAAATAATGTTCTTATATTTAGTACATGATTTTTTAAAAATCTTGTTTATGAATGGTTTCCTTATGATATACATTTAGTTTACTCTTAATCTAAAGGGTAATGACAAATAGGTATGAAAAGTTTGACAGCTCGTACATGTTCCCCTTCTTAGCCTTTTATTCTTTTCCTCCTCAGTAGATTTGGAATATGCTTAGTTACAGACAAGAATTAAAAGACCATCTCATGACTTTACAATTTATTTTCCTAAGTATATAGATAACATAGTAAAGATAATAAATAGGATTATTCTGTATTTTGTAGTTAGTCTTATTTTTTCTTTTACAGCCCATGTATTTCATTCCTAAAATAACAGTCATGATTGTAGTTAGCATGTCTCTAGTGCTTCTGCTTTTCCTGACACTGTTCTAAAAACTCTTTGTATGTTAATTCTTTTTATCCTTGCAACAGTTCCATGAGAGTATTATTGGTATCCCCATTTCACAGATGAAAACACAGAGGCACAAGAAGACATTAAGTGGTGGAGTCAGGATTCGAACCCAGGCACTTTGGTTTTAGAGTCTGTGCTCTTAACCACTACAGTTTATATTTTATAAAAGGATAGTTTTTCATAAAATGCCCTCCCTTCCTTTTCACCTATCCCAATTAAACCTACATTTCAAGACCCAGGTTAAGTCCTACCCTTTATTTTAAAGCCCATCCTAATTATTACAGCCTAGAATGCTCTGTCTTCTCTTGATTCTTGTGTGTCACTCTAATGTGCAGCTCTAGCTCTGATGTGTTGAAACTGTTACTTATTTAAAATCGTGTTGCTTAACTTTTCATTGTGGCCTCACATTTTGTCTTCTGGGCTACAACTTACTAACTTAGGGCGACTTCTCAAAACCTCGTTTTGCTCATTTGAAATGTGGTGATAATATGTACTTTAGGGTCCAAAAAGTAAGTGGTATGATATCTGTAAAGCTGCTGAGCAAATATTATTTATCATTACTACCTTTGAGGCTTTTAAAAATTTTTTTAAAGTAACTTAAGGAGGAATTAATTAGAGGATGCTAGAATAAGAGGACTACTCTTTGAAATGTGGGTGAAATCAGACATGAATGAAAGGAACTGTTATTCCAAAACCATATAACTTATTGCCCCATGATGCAAATTGGTAATGGCAAGATAGTGATTTCTTACTTATGGGAAAAATCTTTGTATGAGGAAATAATACCAAGAGGCAGGGAAAACAGGGAAAGAACAAAGTAATTTAAAACAGTGAAGTAAAAGAAGGAAAATGCCCCAGGTCCAAAGCACAGCATGACATTTTTATTTATAATATGTTATTAATATCAGTATTTAAATCAGAATTCCTTATAATTAGTCATTTTGTGACAGATTACAATTCTATCACTTTGTAATAGTTTAAAATCAAGAACAGCAGGCATTAGTGTTTCACCTCTAAGGCATCTGCCTACCTGCAGCCTCTGCAGACAGCTGTGGAAGCCGAGCACTGCACAGACCAGGGTGGGAGTGAAGCACCCCCCTCCTACCCAGCATACACTCCCATTGGTCTTTCCCTGGAAACAACCTACTGCAACTCTTCTAGCTGACTCTTTCATTATTTCCAAATAGCATGCTATGTTACTATTTCTTGTTTTTTTCCTTCAGTTTTGAGCGATGCTTTATCAAGTTCCCACAATAGAGAATTTAGTCGTCTCTCACCTGCCAGCTCCTGCTTGTGTGCTTCCTCCCCCAACCCCCAATTTCTTATCCCCTTCCAATGTGGTTGTATTATGATTGTTGATAGAACAGTACTCATTGTTTGTATTATGGTTATATAAACACTATTCACAACTTTTTTTTTGTTTTTACAACTTCTTGTATGAGGGGTCTTCAAAAAGTTCATGGAAAGATTTGTATGATCTTTTAATTCTGTTTTTTCATGAACTTTTTAAAATGCCCTCATACTGTCTTGTTTTTTTTTTAGTTTTATTTATCTGCTTTGTTAATTTAATCCTAAATTCTCTCCAGGTTGTGGAAATCTTGAAAATTTCAAGTATATGAGGTATTTTATCAGTAATATCTTGGTGAATTGAATTTTATCATTTTTATCTCTATGTGCATTGCGACAGGCTTCCCAACCTTTTCCACATAAGGGCTCACATGGATAATGTTTGTATAGTACAGAGTGTACGAAATACCTGAGGCTGCTTGTAGCCATGGGTGTCCCAGGGGCTCCAGCAGCCTTAGCCCTTACCAAGCAACCCTAGTTTTGAAGGGATTGATACCTAGGTATATCCAAAACCCATTCAAGACAGGCCTCAGTGTCTTTCAGCACATTCACTAGGAAGCTATGGTCCAAGGGGCCCCCGTCATCATCCAGGGTATCCCTTACTCCTTTTTCTTGTGATGCATCCTCTTCTAAATCGCCTGTCTTCCTCTCATTTCCTCTTTCTGGTAGAAACATATATTCTAGTAGCTATTTACTACTGTAGATACTCTCTGCAGTCTATAATAGCTATTGTGCAGAGATATAACTTATTTTTAAATTTAATTGTTGAAAAATAAAAAAGCCTGTCAATTACTAGTATTGAGAAGATGCAGAACAATTGGGACTTTCATTTATTTATTTATTTGTTTTGATGATACGTATTTATGGGGTGCAGAGTTTACTATCAGTATTTGTGTACAGTATGTGATGATCAAATCAATATTATTAGCTTGTTCATCATTACAAACCATAATTATTCCTTGTGTCCCTTACCCAGGTACTTCCTAACCCCCCTCCCTCTCCCCCTTTCCCACCTCTAGCAACTACAGGTCTGTTCTCTACTTCTGAAAGTTCAGCGTTTTATTGTGGTTGGTCCTTTCTTCCTCCCTCCCTTCCTCTATCCCTGCCACTTATGAGTAAGGAGATGGAGTATTTCTCTTTCTGTGCCTGGCTTATTTCACTTAACATAATTTTCTCCAAGCTCATCCATATTGCTGCAAATGGCAGAATTTCATTCTTTTTATGGCTGAGTAGTATTCCATTGTGTATATATACATTTTCTTTTTTCCTTTTTGTCTTTTTTCGTGTCCGGCAATGGATCGCAACCCTCAGTGTCGCGCCCGTACCGGACCGGGACCGGCAACGGGATCGCAACCCTCGGTGCTGCGCCCACACCTCGCTCAGCCAGTGAGCGGGAACCGGTCTGTATGTGGGATCCGAACCCTCGGCGGGAGCGCCACCATGCTCCCAAGCGGCGCACTGTAGCAGTGCGCCACCGGGCCGGCCCATATATATACATTTTCTTTATCCAGTTGTCCATCGATGGACATTTAGGTTGGTTCCATCTCAGGGCTACTGTAAATGGAGCTGCAGTGAACATGGGAGTGCAGGTATCCCATCGATATGATGATTTCCATTCCTTTGGATATATACCCAGAAGTGGGATTGCTGGATTGTATGGTAGTTCTATCTGTAGTTGTTTGAGAAACCTTCGTACTATTTTCCGTGATGGCTGTACTAATTTACTGTCCCACCAACAGTGTAAAAGAGTCCCCTTTTCTCCACATCCTCACCAGCATTTGTTATTCTCTGTCTTTTTGATTATAGCCAGTCTAACTCGGGTGAGATGATATCTCAGTGTGGTTTTGATTTGCATTTCCCTGATGACTAGTGATGTTGAGCATTTTTTCATGTACCAATAGGTACGTGAAAGAGACATACATTTGTGTGTCTTCCTTTGAAAAAATGTCTATTCAGCTCCTTTGCCCATTTTTTAATTGGATTGTTTGGTTTTCTATAGTAAAGTTGTTTGAGTTCCTTGTATACTCTGGATGTTAATCCCTTGTCAGATGTATAGTTGGTGAATATTTTCTCCCATTCCATAGGTTGTCTTTTTACTCTGTTGATTGTTTCCTTTGCTGTGCAGAAGCTTTTTGGTGTGATATAATCCCATTTGTCTGTTTTTTCTTTTGTTGCTTGTGCTTTGGGGGTCTTATTCATAAAGTCTTTGCCTGGTTCTACATCCTGAAGTGTTTCCCCTATGTTTTCTTCTAGGAGTTTTATAGTTTAAGGTTTTATACTTAAATCTTTAATACATTTTGAATTAATTCATACATTAATGGTGGGAGTGTAAAATGCTGCCAGGTGAATGCATTGAGACATGGCGTTTCTGAAAATGTCTGTATTCTGCCCTTATGCATGATTACTAGTTAACTGAGTATAGAATTATAGGTCGGAAAATTTTCCCAACAGTTTGAAGGTATTTCTCTGTTGTTTCTTATTGTGGATCTATCTTCATCTATTGTGCTGAACAGTCTAGAGACACCTGTCCTTCAGCTTGGAAACTTTTCTCATTTTATTTCTTCGATTTCCTCTTCTCTATTTTTTCCTTTTTTCTTAGAACTTCTGTTGTTCAGAAATTGTACCTTCTAGACTGGTCCTCTAATTGCCTTATCTTTCCTGTTTTCCACTTGTCTTTTGCTCTATTTTCTGAGAAGTTTTTCCTAAACTTGATCTTGTAGTCCTGATACTGAATTTCTATTTTTTATATTTTTAGATTTACAAGAGATCCTTTTTTTTTAAGTATTGCTGCTCTTTTTTCTTTTTCTTTTCTTTCTTTTTTTTTTTTAATGTATCCAGATCTTGTTTCACGGATGCAATATCTTTTCTTATCTCTAAGGATATCAGTAATTTAAAGTTTTTTTTCCTTCCTACACACTCTATTTCTTCAAGTTGTTTTTTCTTTTTCTTTTGATTTTTGACTTTCATATTAGAATTTTTTTATACTTTCTGGTCATCTTGATTGCTACTCATATTTAAGTGAAGGGTTCTTAAAAAAAAAATCTGATCGAAACTTTGGTTTGCCTGGATAGGACTTGTTGACTGGGGACTTCCCAATATAGGGCGATTAGGATGGGCTATTTAGTTGGCAGACTTCTAATGTTATTTTAGGTATTTTAACTTGACCCGTTCATATGCCTCAGAAAAGTTTGCTTACTCTTCTGCCGGGCGAGTGTGAATCTGGCTACCAGTATTCTAGGAACTGACTAGGGGAAGAAGGCATAGGGTAGCAATCCCCCTGGTTTTGGAATATATTCCTCATCCTCACCTCTTCCTGAGATCCCTCAATCTAGAGTTGTTCTGTTTTACTTTTCCAGAGCATAAATCTCCATTCTTTTGCTTAGGTGAACAAAGGTTGTCCTTGGATAGCACTGGGGGAGGGACCCGGGTGTCTAACATATCTTCACACAACTTTCAGGCAGTCTTCTTGCTTCGTACACACCTTCACCCTGCATTCCTCAGGGGAATCTGGTACAGGCACTCGCTGAGCCGTTCGGTGTTTCTGGGATAGAAATCAGGTGGTTTCTTGGCTTTCCCATTGGAGGCTTAAGATTCAGCTTTCTCAGATCTTCTAGTCAGGTACTGTCACCCATCTGTTTTCTACCTTCCAAAATCTCAGTGGTGTTGCTTCGTCTCCTGTTTTTGTTCTTGTGCATTTATGCCTTTTGAAAAAATCTATTTATTCTTGTTTTAGATGGATTTCAGGTGGTGTAGGAGAAAGAAATACATTTGTTTAATCCATTGTCTTTAAACTAGAAGTCCCAAGGTATCATCTAGAGATCCTCAATATTTGATTGAAATCTTGCCCATTTCTTCCAATTGAAATTAATATCTTATATTATTACAAGTTGTATGTTTAAAAATAAAATTAAAATATAGAACGCTTTTATAAAAAACAAATCTAGTCTAAAATAATTTATTTTGTTGAAATGCTTCTTTTCTCCTTGACTTCAACTCTTAGAGATACAAACCTATTATTTTTTCTCCATGAAAAATGGAGATCATTAGGCAGTGGTATATTTTTTTGTGCATAGTATTGAAGGTTTTGATGAATATCAGCATCTTGTATGTTAATGCAGTAGGGCTTAAAGTTGAAGTAAACATAAATGAATCATGATTATAGTTACTGTAACTTTCCTGTTATACTTTATAGAAAATTGATAAAGTTTTACAAAAGAACAGACCTTTAAATTAGCTGATGATTATATACAGTCTATTGTGGTTTTTTAATCCTAAAGGAAAGCAGAATACATCATTACTTGGAAATAGAATTTTGTATTTGTGTTCATTTTTAGAAGACCCACAACACAACTCTGAATGGTAAAGATACAGTTCATCACTGGAGCTGGGCCTCAGACCTGCCCTTGGAGTGTGCCACTCATTATGTGGGAATTAGATGCTACATTGATAGTCTTCATTTCTCTGGTCGCAAAGAGTGGAGTGACTGGAGCCCAGTGAAGAACATTTCTTGTAAGCTTATATTTAAAGAATTTTTCTTTCAAATAAATTAGATTAGTCTTACTCACGGGTAAGGTTCAGTTTAAGCTTTCACTTCTCTGAACCCCAGGTGGTTGCATGAGGGTCACCTGGAGAACTTCCAAACCTACCATTCCAGGACATTTTTATTTTAAGAATTCTGAGATAGGCTTCAGGAACCTGTTGTATTTTTAAAGAACTTCTTGAGTGATTGGATAAACATCCAGGTTTGAAAATCACTGTGGTAGGCATTGAATAACAATGAAAAATTATATGTAGGTGATAATGAAATCAAATCTATATTATGAAAAAAATGGTTCCAAATTACTGGTCCATAGATCAGACCCCTATAGGCTGTGCAGAGTTATTGCAGGGAACATGGGGATCTGCAGCATACCAAAAATCAACTGTTCTTTAGATAAAACTCATGTGCAGGTAGAATGTTGGCAGTGTGGGGGAGGGCCTGGAAAACTGTTGAAATGAAGTCCCAGAAAAGGCTGGGAATTATTGTAGATAGACAGTACTTTTGACAATATGGAGAAATGGGTCAGAGGAAGGAAGGACTGAATTAAAGAAAATTGCTTTTTAGGATGTGGGGTACTTGAACGTATATTTAGGCTGATGGAAAGTAAAAAATCTGCTCTAAATGTATAGAATAAAAAGAATGGAATTGTTTAATGAGTGATTTTTTTGGTGTGGATTTTTCCTCTGTGTATGTAAGCCCACTGAATTTGAACCTTTAGAATTTTTAGACATTAACCTGTGACATTAGATGTATAGATGTTGACCTGTTCCGCTCCCTCACAGTCACCCCTTCATAAATGAATAAAACCCCACACACTGTTTTATGTCTTGTGCATATCTTCCTACTTTCAAACCTGGGGACGTATTTTATCTTTGGGCCACCATTATTATAAAGCACCTGACAATATGTTTTGTATATACTGGGTTATTTTAAAAATAATATTATGAAAAAAAAGTCTTCTTATGGAGACTATTTCATGTAAAAGACTTCTAAAATATTTATAATTCCCTTTGTTCTTTCTAGGGACTCCTGATTCTCAGACTGAGGTTTTTCCTCAAGACAAAGTGATACTTGTAGGCTCAGATATAACATTTTGTTGCGTGAGTAAAGAAAAAGTGGTATCAGCACAGATTGGCCAAACGGATTGTCCCCTTATCCATCTTGACGGGGAAAATGTGGCCATCAGGATCCATAATATTTCTGTTTCTGCAAGTAGTGGAACAAATGTGGTTTTCTCAACACAGGACAGCATCTTAGGAACAGTTATTTTTGTAGGATGTAAGTATATAATTTTAAAGAGAGTTTCTATTAACCTGTTTTGGACCTCCTTGTTACCCTTTACTCTTTGGGAAGTGTTTTGTTTCTTTCTCATTTCTTTGTTCTTTAATATAAATGATATATAAAGGCACTAGAATTTTTGCTTATTTTAATATGCATCCTAAGCTTGTTTCCTACATACCTCTATCTGTATAACTTGTAGGTTTTGTAATAAGATTTGAAATATCCAGCTGCTCATGTTTATTTTACATTTTTAGTTAACAGCTTTGTTGAGTCAAGGATAATTAGTATTTCTTAATCCTACATTGTTTAGGAATTATTTTATGTAATTTAAGTTACCACCTAAAGGATACCTTTTTAAAGTACCTAAATTAAAGAAATTATAACGATTTTACACAAAGTCTTTCAACAGCATAATATGTCTTCTCCGACTTTTAAATAATATAGTTGAGGTGAACAGGATTCTTGGAGGACATGGCTGAGAAGAAAACTTGCACTGTGTTTTGTCTGTAATGTGTGCACTGTCATTCAGGGCATCTTTATTAATGATTATGACTACAGTCCAAAATTCCATGATATTTCCAAAAGTTGTGGTGGCAGATGTCCACAGGTAATTATGTTATGAGTTGAGAGTTTTTCTTCCTCCCTGCATTCTGAATTAAAAGCCTCTAGATTTGGTGTAAGGGTCTCATGAATAGAGTGTGTGAGATGGAGTCAGTGGATTTTATGATAATTCTTTTGATTGCTTAGTGATTTTTCTTTTGCTTTTTCATGATTCTCAGCTGTGGACTCACTCGATCAGCTTCTCTCAGTCTCTTTGTTACTACTACAGTAACTTGTGATGAATTACATTTAGATGTTGATATCCTCCCAAGGGAATAACCAAGATTAGGTGCACTTCTCAGCTTGATGCCTGTAACCTTACTCTCTTTTTGTCTTCTCAATAATGCGTTTTGGAATTCAAGTGAAAGTGAGGTTATGTTCAAATTTAAATTTTAGAAAATTATGTTTTTTTCTTAATGGAATTTTAGGAAATTACTTGCAACATGTTTCACAAATGATCCTGGAGTCTACTGAGAATCAGTGGCATAGCATACGTAGTAAAGTTGCTTCATAAGTCATACTAAAAAGGGAGCTGTCCACTTAGAAGTATGAAAGAAAAAATTAATACTTAAAAGATGAGAATATGCACTGTTGCCATTTCTACTATTTCAGACAATGTTCTAATCTTTTATCATAGTACTAGAACAAACCAATTTAATTCATAATTTAACCTTCATTTGTAAAATTTAGAGGTTGAAATTGTTGACTATTTCTCAACTCAGAGCAGCAGTAATATTTAAGGGAACTCTTTAGAAACTTACAAGAGCAGGTTATGGTGTGGGTTAGGGATCAAGATGCATTTATTTTCTTTCCCTTATGGATATCCTGTTAATTCACCATTTATTGAAAAGACTAAAAAGAATTTTAGAATCAGATTGCCAGTTTCCCCCTACATGTACACACACACACACACACAATTGAAATCTGATGGAATTTTGATTGGGATTACATTAAATCTATAGATCAATTTGGAGAATCACATTCTTAAAATATTTAGTCTCCCAAGCCAAGAACATGGTTTATCTTTTCATTTACTTAGGTCTTCTTTGACTTATCTTAGGGATAGGAGGTCTTATGTATTTTTTGGTGAACTTATTCCTAGGTGCTTGAAGTTTTCTGGTGCTATTAAAAATGGTTTTGTTTTTTAAACTGCATTTTCTATTTGTTCTTATATAAAAATACAGTTGCTTTATATCTAACTTTTACCTAGCTTCAGCTGATTCTTTTTTAAGTTAATATTTTTAAAAGAAAATCAGTACATTTCAAATACCGTCCTCATATTTTTTACTCTTCTGTCAGTCTCACCTCCCATTTCTTTCTAGTTTGCTCCTGTTATTTGGATTTTAAGTATTTCTACTTAATATATCTGCCAAATCCTAAAATCATCAGCATTTTAAATATATTACATATTTTTGGTATGTGATTTTAATAAAATGACAAAGTTTGGCCTTAGATGTAAAATAATTTTCAAAATAAATACATCAGTGTTAGTTTAATCATGTAGACACTCATTAATCCTCTTAATATTACCTAAAATATCACTGAAGAATGGTATTCTTATCTCTGCAGAAGGTATGTGAAATTTTCCAAGTTTTGGTTGATAAACTAAGGTCTGTTTTGAAAATTCAGTTGAAAAAAATATTTTACAGAATTTTTTAACATGTATATAATTTTGTTTTGTTTTTTAACTTACCTAAACTGACAGTTTGGATAAATATGACATTTGTAGATACCAGTTTTTATATATGTTTGGTTTAACATGATTGCAGAAATACCAATTTCTATAATAAGCAGTGTCAGACTGTAGCATTTTCATCTGTCATTTTAAAGGTCTCACAAAACAATGAACAACTGTTTTCTTTTTCTAGTCCTGCCCCTACAAAGCTAAAGAGAATAGTTTCAATAAAGAGAAGAAAAAACAACAGAAGAGCAGTAGTCAGTTTGAATATAGGGAGATGCAGAACTATGCCAAGAGTTACTTTGTAAATAATAGTCCTTATAATATATTTAAGAATTCTGAAACTTGTAATATGATTTATACTGACTTTTAAACTATTTGTTACTTCTTTTTAAATCACAATGTATAGATGATAGATGATAATTTTTTTGGTGGCTGGCCAGTACGGGGATCCAAACCCTTGACCTTGGTGTTATACGCACAGTGCTGTAACCAACTGAGCAAACTGGCCAACCCAATAGTACCTTTAACCTGTAAATTTTCTGACTTAACTTATTGGACACAGATTTTTTTCAAGAGATTTGGTAGACTCTGAAATAGTATTTAAGGAAAAAAAGTGACTATCTCTCAATCTGAATTTCCAAATGTGCTAAGAGTTACTTTTCAGTATATTTTAATTGATCACTTCTAATGTAATATGAACTCTGACAAAGCACGTTATAGAAAGAATGATAATTCCTGCATTGTTCAAAAGTAAAATGTAAACAGTAAATTCTTCATTTTTAAGGAAATTATGCAAAATGTTGGCATTCGTAAAACATTACATTTTCAGGGAACATATACATAATTGTAACTACATTTTTTTTTCTTCTTCCTATTAGATCCGCCTGATATTCCTCAAAAATTGAATTGTGAGACACGTGATTTAAAAGAGATTATATGTAGTTGGAATCCAGGAAGACCAACAGCATTGATGGGCCCACGTGGAACAAGTTACACTTTATTTGAAAGGTGATTATAACCAAGAAGGGATGTCAGATGGCAGGGAGTGCGTTGGAAGTACATGTGAAATGCGCTACATTATTTATATTATGAGTGAGCTATAAAACCGAATATGCTGTGTAAAATTGTATATACTATAAATACTGTAGTCTAACCATATGTAGATTCGATTTTATGTCTCTTTAAAAAAGTTTAGGAGGAAGAACCTCAAATATGAACAGAAACTGTGACTAGTGGGTTTATGGCTATTTTCTCCTGTTTTCTGTATCATGTGTATTTTCTTTTATATATATATATATTTCTGAATATGTCTTTAATTAGAAATATAAACTTTTTAATTTTTAAAATTTTTTATTGAAACAATCGATTATGCATATTTGTGGGGTACATAGTTAGCTATCAGTGTTTCTGTAGAATATGTGATGATCAAATCAGAATTATTAGCATATTCATCATTACAAAACATAATTATTCTTTATGTCCATTACCCAGTTCCTCCCTAACCCTCCTTAACCTTTTCTGCCTCTGTTAACCACAGTTCTGTTCTCTCCTTCTGAAAGTTCAGCATATTATTGTGGTTGTTTATTTATTTTTTAGTTACCACTTATGAGTGTAAACATAAAGATTCATTATGAGAAATTTGCCTATTTGTGTTTTTCCTCCAATATATCTCTCTTGCTGTTTTGAAAATTATTTTTCTTTTATTTCACAGTTTTTCAGGAAAATATGTTAGATCTAAAAGAGTTGAAGTGCCTACAAATGAAAGCTATCAGCTATTTTTTCAAATGCTTCCAAGTCAAGAAATATATAATTTTACTTTGAATGCTCGCAATCTTCTGGGTCAATCAGAATCAACAATTTTAGTTAACATAACTGAAAAAGGTAAGCTGCTATGTAAACTGGGGTCTTAAAAATAGCTTTAGAAGTGGTGAAATGCCTTGAGATTAATGAAAAGTGCTTCTGGGGATATCTTTTTACTGATTATTTTCTTTATAGTTACTTTATGTTAATTTTTAAAATTTTATTTTAGAAGGTTTAAAATGTATAATTTCGAGTTTTACCATTATGTTGAACTTAAATAAAAATTTGAATTGGTCATTTACATAGAAACTGTAAGTGACTTTGTCTAATAGTTTTTGATTTTCGAAACCGTTTTTGCCCAACTTTTATTTTAAAATAATTATAGACTCACTGGTAGTTGCTTAAAAAAAAAAAATTAGAGATTTGTGAACTCTTCCCTTGGCTTTCCCCAGTGATGACATCTTATGTAACTATGGTACAAAACCAGGAACTTGACACCAGTGCAATACTGTTAAGAAGACTACTGACTCTACTCAGTTTTTCACGTGCTTTTTTGTGTGTGTGTAGTTCTGTGCAGTTTATCTTATGTATAGATTCATGTAACCACCATCACAATCAAGATACAGAACTGCTAGAACAAATACAAATGTCATGTTGGCCCTTTATCATCCGTCCACACACACACACATCTCTGTCCCTTGGCAACAACTAATTTTTTCTTTGTACTGTTTTGTCATTTTGAGAATGATATATAAATGAAATCGTATAGTGTGTAACATTTTGAGGTTGGCATTTTTTACTAAGAATAATGTCCTTGAGAGCCATCCAAGTTGTATGTATCAGTAGTTTGTTTCCTTTTCTTGCTGATGATTTCTGGATTTTTACCAACCCTATTAATATATAGCTCAAAATAGAAATAAACTGTGGTTGATCTTTTTGGCATTCATTACCATGGTCAATCTATGTGCATGTAACACAACAGAGCAATGGCAAGGAGACTCTTATGGGGGGAGGGGCTAAAACCAAGTGCATTTTCATACATCCTGGCAAATAATTAGCAGGTGACCCTTTTGCCTTCTTTGTAAAAATAAGTCACTTTCATCGTTATTCCTTCCTGTTACTTTTGATATTTCTTGATTTTTCTTAGGGTCAAAACAGCTCCACGTGTCTCTTGAGTGGTAGTGTTTTGTATGCATTGGTCTGCCCTCTGCCATTTCAATCTTATTTCCCATGGGATTCTTGCCCGCCAAGCAAGTTGGTATATGCTCTATTCCCAGTGTGATGTGCAGTTTGCTGCACTGTACCCTGGTTCATGCCAAGATCCCAACGTGAACTGCTTTTCTATATCCGTTTTGCCAGTTTTAGTCTGATTCTTCCTTCAAAGCTCATCTTAAGTTTCATCTTCACTGTAAGATTTTCCCCCTACCATGCTTCCATTTAAATTCCTGTAGCAGTTAAGATCTATACCGTGCATTTAGAACTTAGCATATAAACTCTTATTAATTTTCTTTCATTTTTGTTTGTCATTCCCCAAGTAGATTCCTTAAAGGGTACGGAATGTGATCTTAGTACCTTTTAGTATTCCCAGTACCAATTGAAGAACCTTGAGTCTGATTGGTTTTTAAAACATGTTGGCATGATGTCAGGAGGTTTGTGGGTTCCACGAATACTGGGTAGAATATTGCTGATAATCACTAATGATACCTCCTTGTTTTCTTTTAGTCTTGTTTGTCATACTAGAAGATAGCTTTTCACTTTAAAATAAATGTTTAAAGTAATTAATCTTTATAAATTATATTTACAGTTTATCTCCATACTCCTACTTCATTCAAAGTGAAGGATATTAATGCAACAGCTGTTATACTTTCTTGGCGTTTATCAGGCAGCTTTGCAAAGATTAATCTTTTATGTCAAATTGAAATTAGTAAAACTAATTCAGTACAAGAATTGGTGAGTAAGATTCTTCTATAAACTTTGTAGTTATTTTGGATAAGACAGTTTTCAAAAAGAATCCAGAAAATTGATGTGTAAGCTCTCAGATTATTTATTATAGAGATTTACTAAGAACCAAGAAAGACATCATATATCAATGTAATAACAGCATTATACTTAGCATTTGAAAACAATCATAATACTAGACATATAGAATGTAAATTTGACTTTTACTACTCAGAATGTTCCCAGGTCCAGTATAGTAAGTACCTGGCACGCAGCTAGTACTCAGTAAATTTGTGAATGAATGGGCAGTTTTTGCTGTACTTTAGCATCAGTTAATGGATTAATTGGCACCATGAAGTGCAGCAGTGGGAGCAAGTTATAATTGGTAATTGTAAGTCAAAACATGACTTTTTAATGCATTTTAAATATTTAAGTTGACTTTTATACCACACCATCTTGTAATTTGTGGTAGGTCTAAAACAAATGAAATTGTACCTGAATATTCATTTCAAATTTATTGATTTCTAGAAAAATCAGTCAGAACTACAAAATGTTTGAAAGCTTCTTTGTAATAAGTAATTAGGAGCTCTGAGACTTTCCTGAAACATGCAGATCCTCAAATTTGTCTAAAATTGCTTCATTTTATTTAGTTAAAGTAAGTATTTGTTAAATATTTACTACAAGTTCAGCACCATACTAGAGGTTCTAAATGACATATTAACAGAAATGCATGAAAGATGATGTCTGCCTCCAAGAACCTTCCAAATATCATCTGAACGATATATTTAATCCTCAAAGTCTTCTCAAATTAAATTATGTTAAAGTTTATTACATCATCATTAGCCATTGACTGATTATCAAAATTTTATCACCCTCTGCATAATTTAATTGACCATTATTACTTAGAGCCAATATTTGGATTTAAAAGACACCCCCATTTTTTTTTTCCTTTTTGTCTTTTTTCGTGACTGGTAACGGGATTGCAACCCTCGGTGTCGCGCCCGTACCGCGACCGGCAACGGGATCACAACCCTCAGTGTCGCGCCCGCACCACGTTCAACCAGTGAACGGACCTGTCTCTATATGGGATCTGAACCCTCGGCGGGAGCGCCGCCATGCTCCCAGCACCACACTCTACCGAGTGCGCCACCGGGCCGGCCCGACACCCCAATTTTTTATTGCTATTACAGAGCATAACCACTGACTTGGCATGTATATAATAATTAAAATATTATAGTGAATGAACTTCCTTTGGTCTTATATGTGCAGACTCATGTGGACATAAATGTTACAACTGTGAAGGCTTTCTTACTCCAAAAAATATGTGTGTGTGTGTGTGTGTGTGTGTGTGCGCACATATATTCATACACACATGGCATATACATATATATATATACACACACATATTTATTTGTTTTCTAATAGCGGAATGTCACTATCAAAGGAGTAGAAAATTCAGGTTATCTCACTGCTGTGGGCAAGTTAAATCCATATACTATGTATACTTTTCGGATTCGTTGTTCTACTGAAACTTTCTGGAAATGGAGCAAATGGAGCAATGAAAAACAACATTTAACCACAGAAGCCAGTAAGTTAACAAAGTGATTTATGGCTAATTATTACTGTGTATCCTGAAGTTTTACAACTTTGTTTTAAAGAAAATGTTATCAAGGTGCTTAGAAGTAGGGGAATGCTTAGATAAATTGTGTAGTATCTGCTAATAAAATATCACACATACATTTTAAATGATGGTTTTAAAAATGTGATAATACAGAAAAGTGTTTGGCATAAGTTGCATGAAAGGACTGGGCTTCCTGTCTCCCATGTGATTGCAACTGTGTTAAAGTGACGCATAGGAAACCAGACTTGAAATGGTAGTAAGATTATTGGGTGACTTTTCTCTCACTCTTCTTTTCCTGGAATTTTAATAATGCCCCTAACTCAGATTGCCATTTGCTTGAAAACAATTATTAAAGAGAATTGTTAGAATTTGTATTTGTGAGCTAGGACTGAAAAGTAATGTGGCCAAAATGTCTTGAACTTTCATTTCTGTAGTGTACCTAGGTCAAAATAGGTATAAAATCAGGTAACTGGTTTTCTGAATATAATAATTTCCAGAGACAGAATGGTATTCTGTCCTTGAATAATTAGATGTCAGCTTTTAAAAAAAACAAACAGAAACTTAGAAATAGGTATAATTTTTAGGAATCATTCAACAAAAGATAGCAAAAGCTTTATTTGTACTTTATAATATAGGAAATATAAAACTTCTTCAAAAAAATTTAGCAAACAGTAAAACAAAAAGTGATAGATGTTAATGTAGATTTTGCCTCTCCACATGGAAGAATAGAGATGAGGGAGCTTTGCAATATGTGTAAGAATTATTTGTATCATCAAGAATGAAACCAGTGCATGAGTCCAGAAAGGGATTGAATTAGTTATCTATTCCTATGCAACAAATTACCCTAAAACTCCATAGCTTAAAACAGCAAACATTTATTATCTCACAGTTTCTCTGTGTCAAGAAATTCAGTAGCAGCTTAGTTGGGTGCCTCTGGCTTGGAGTCTCTCATGAGGCTGCACTCAGAGTGTGGGTGGGAACTGCAGGCTTCATTGGGGTAGAGGACGCATTTCAAGGTGGTTCACTCATGTGATTATTGGCAGGAGGCCTCAGTTCTTCACCCTGAGGCCTCCTTAAGGGCTGCTTGAATATCCTCATGACGTGGGAGCCAGGTCCTCCCAGAGCTAGTGATTGAAGAGAGAGCAAGACAGAATCCACAATACCTTTTATGATCTAAAATCAGAAGTAACATACCATCACATCTGCTGTAGCCAATTGGTCACACTGATAGAGTCGGGGCCAACCCTGATGCAGTATGGGACCACACAAAGGCATGAATATCAGGAGGTGTGGGAATCATTGGTCATTTTGGAGACTGGCTGCCACAGGAGCTTTTTCCTTCAGTTAATGAGCTGTTGTTGCCAAGAGGAAACATCTTATTTACGCCTCGTTGACATGAAGGCATTAATTCACTTAACAAATATTTACTGTTTATGCATTATGTGTCAGGAATTGTTCCAGTCACCATGGATATAGTGGTAAATAAATCAGATCTCTGCCTGTGCAGTTTATAGGATACAGGATTAGAAATAAACTTAAAAAATAAATAAATATGTATATATATATGCATATATAGTATCTCAGGGACAGATGAGTGCCACAGAGAAAAATAAGGCATAGAAAGCGGGCTAGGAAATGAAAGCTGGGTAATGAAGGGGTGAAGGGAATTGTCATTTTAAATTGGACAGGTAGAAAAGATCTCGCTAATGAGGTAATATTTGAGCTGAGCTATGAAAGAGGTAAGGAAGCAAGCCCCTGGTTTATCTAAGGGAAGAGAGTTCTAGGCAGAGGAAGAGGACACAGAAAATGCAGAGAGCCTGAGACAGGTGTCCTTGGCATGTCTAAAGCCAGTGTGTGGCCAGAGCCAACCTGAGGAAAGGGGGATGAGAAGAAGAGGGGCAGAAAGACACCTAGGACCAGTCAGGGAGAGCCTCAGGGGGTTTTAAGGGGCCTTGTGTTCTGCAGAAGTTGAGAGCTTAGCTTTTCCTTTGCTTCATCTTCTAAGTGGAAGGCTCTGAACTGCTCCACATTTTATTGAGAATTCCAAATACCCTAGAAAAAAATGTCAAGCACCACTGTCCCAATTATTGATATCGTTGACATATGCATTTTCAAATACTAACTTCTAAATCTCCTTCCTAGTTCCTTCAAAAGGGCCAGATACTTGGAGAGAGTGGAGTTCTGATGGAAAAAATTTAATAATCTATTGGAAGGTAAATATCTCATTTTCCTTAACATTTAAATGACTTTCTTATGCTAAACTGCATAACTTACATATAGTACTTTGGTTATAAGGAGCCAAGACTTCCCACACTGGTTTGGTTTGCAGTACTGCTGAGAATCTACCCTGGCTCCTAAAAACCCCCAAATTCCTCATCACTCTTAGTTCACCACAGTCATTTGAGTGAAGATCTTCTGTCTCAGATCTGAGCATTCTTTAGTTTGAATTTATGGGGCCTATAAAAGACCTGAGGATTTCATGAATTCCATCCCCCTCATTTTAGTTAGAAACACAGCCAGAAATTACAAGTGAGACTCCCAAATGTTTATTAGATTTTTCTTCTGTGAATAGGAAACTTTTTATATATTTTATGTATAATTTGTTTCCCTTAAATAAATTGCATTATAATATGCCAATTATAAAGTTTTGTATGGTTTTGTAACATTTTCAGATAAAATATGAATTGCATTGTATTTTGTTAGTTTTTCTTTACTATAGCATTTTTTGTTGCTATATTTTTTAATATTTGTTTTATGAATACCAAAAATATGAAGTTATTTTCTACATTAGATTTTGTAAGAGTAGTGATAATAGGTTTCCTTTAAGTAGTGAATTTTGTAATTGAAAGTAAAACATAATTTTATTTTTATAAACATTTGACATCAGTACAGCTTTGAGTAAAGTGACGCATTTGTGTGAGTTCAGTGTGAATCTGTTGCATTGGGGAGGTTTGTATCTGGCTGTCGCATTCACTGTGACTCTTGGTTAGAAAACCCCCTGGCTACTCTCAGTTGTCTGTCTGATTTCATGATAATATAGCAACAATTACACGAAGTACTTCAATGTAGAGATAGTTTGGAATATCATTCAGACTAGATGAAGATTTAACCAAGGACTAAAAATATTGAAGTGATTCATATTCTAACATCAGTGACTAGGTTTATGGTGTGGCCATTTGCCAAAGAAGACAATGTTTGAGTGGAAAATTATGTTGTTGTGGACATACTGGGTCTTTCAAACATGTGCCACTGGAATATATTCAAGTAGAGCCCAGTAGGTGGTGGTTTAATGTAAGGTTCTGGAGCTCAGGAAGAAGTCAGAGCGAAAGATACAGCTTTGAGTAGCACTTAAATGGGATCACTCAGGGGGAACATGCAGGATGAAAAGAGGACCAAGCGTGGATCCCCAGGTGGTAGCATATAAAGAGCCGGCAAAGGGAGAGGACCCAGCAGAAGAGACTGGGAAGGTCATGGGGCAGGAAGACCAAAGAAAATAGTATTATGGAAACCACGGGAGGGGGACAATTCAAGGAGTGACTGGTCAGGAGTGTCACTCAAAGCCCATAAGTTTTAGGACTAATGCCTGCCCACTGGAGTAGGCCATTGGAGAGTTTCAGAGACCTGCTGGAGCAGTGTTGGTATCAACATCAGTCTGGATCAGTGGATCCCAAACATTGCCCTATAAACTCTGGCAATTGTTATTGTTAAGGTAGCATCCAGTGTAGACTTGATGGCCTTGCCTAGTCGCAGTCACTTTTTGCAAATTTTTATAACAGAATTTATTTTTCTGCTTTTCATAGCCTTTACCTATGAACGAAGCTAATGGAAAAATACTTTCCTATAATGTATCATGTTCATCAGATGAGGAAACACAGTCTCTTTCTGAGATCCCTGATCCTCAGCACAAAGCAGAAATAGAAGTTGATAGAAATGACTACATCATCAGTGTGGTGGCAAAAAATTCTGTTGGCTCATCCCCACCTTCTAAAATAGCTAGTATGGAAATTCCAAATGGTGAGTACTTAAGATAATTTAGTATATAAGAGCAGGAAATTAAAGTGAAAAATTTTGATGTTACTTGCACTTTTATAAGGTCAGCATTCTTCTCATGTATTCTGCTGCTGCTGATATATAAGGAGGACAAGCAGGTTAATGTCTAATATTCATTGAGAGAACAGTCATTATTATTGACCCAAACCATGTACACTGATGGATATAATAATTACTGTACCCAGTTACTTTATTGCATAATCTTGGAGAGTTATGATGGTGGATAGTACTCTTAGGAGGAAATATTTTAACAGTTTATTCAAATATCATTTTTGAATTTCTCTCTAAGACAATGAGAGTATGCTATATTAACTAGGCTGTTTTGCAAACTATTAGGCGGGAAAAAAATACTCATTTTAATCTGCAGCTTTGATAATAGCAATTCTTTATTAATAGGAATTCTTTATTGATAAGAAAGTTTTTCTAAAGTCTAAATTAGATCTTCAATATAGGCTCTTAAAAAATAACTGCGGAACTTTAAAATTATTTAGTGCATGCCTTTAAATTTCATGGATTACCAGTGACTAATACATTACTCCTTAGCATCTACTATGGCAGCTTTTTGAGTCATGAGTTTTAAATAACCACTTCCACCTCTTCCAGTTAATTCCTCTTTCAAGTCATTTCCTGTTCCCTGCTGCTGTCCTACCCAGTAGGACAGTAACTACCCAGTCCTAGAGGAAGAAAGATTGGTCTAGTTAGGGTTCTCTGAGTATCTTTTCAACTCTTGCTTGAGGCAGTTTCTTATTGCTTATTACTTAGCTGATCCTTTGTTCTGTCTGAGTTGGCCTTAGGAGGATTAGGAGGAAGATGTAGGAAAGCACAGTACATTTCAGAGATGCAGAGTGCTGGCCAGAGCCCAGATGGCATCCATGCTGGAGTGGCCCCCGGGGCACTGTATGGCCTGCACAGGGAGGTAGGGGTTAGAGGAAGGCACACTAATGGCTCTCCATTTTGGCCAAGCAAAAATAAAAAATAGAAAGAGATGGTGAACTTCATCCATAAGAAGATAATCTTGCTGATACAGATAACGTTTTTCATTGTTCTTGCAATGATACACAGTAGCTGTGTTGTCTTTTAATTCAAGAACTATAATCCTACCTTTTCCTTGTATACCTCAGAAGATGATAATTTACAGGAATAATAATGGTCTAGTCATCAGCTTTCAGACAATTACTGAAGCCCCAAAACAAATCATCATTCCTTGAGGATTTCCCAAGTTGGAGTCTCTGCAGCCTCAGTTCAGGTTTACACTGTGGGTTTTTAATCACATTGAGTCAAAAAGCTGTTATGTTCAAAGTCCTCTGTATTCTAAGCCATAATGTCGTCTGGTGTTCAATAATAACTGCTTTATGAATGCAAATTTTGTTCAAGAAACCTTTCTATGGCTTTTTACTGAATCCTTAAATTATTTATAGAAATTACTTCTCTTATTACTGTGGGAAATTTCCTTCTCCCTTTTGACCACATTGCCCTAATCTTCACCCCAATTCTTCACCCCCAGCATCAGGCTTCACTTGTCACCCAGGCTGAGATCTGGCAGGATGGGGCACAGAACCTCACTACAGCCCCACACCTGTCTCCTCGCCCCAGCCTCTGCACCTTGCCCCTGGTGTCCCATGGGGTGCGGTGGAGACTCCCCCTCACCCCCCACCAGTGCCCATACCGCCATCTCCCCAGCATCTGCATCTCAACAGCTGCCCCTGCTCCTGCTGAGCCAGAATCCCCTCAAGCCCAGCTCTGGGGTAGCGGTCTTCCTTGAAAGAAAGAGAAAGGGCTGGTTCATCCTTCCCTTGCATCTGTTCCAAGCCTGCTCCACAAGCCATTTGCCAGGCCGCCTGTTCTCAAGGAGCTGGTGTTTGCAATGGAGGAGGAACAGGGGATGCTTCAGACTGTCCATGGCTACCTTCCCTAGCCTCCGCCTCCGCCATCACTGTGCATTGCCATGTCCCCTCCAGTGCCCTCATCTCCATCCCTGTTCCCTCAGCCACATCCTTCCTGGCCCTTGATCCTCGTGTCCTGGCCCTAGCATGTCACTACCTGGTCCTAGGTGCTTGTTTTATTATATTTTTTCAGCTGCTGTATCAATTGGTGTGTACAGGCAGTTGTAATAGCTGTTATGATAAAAATAACACAACAAAACTTCTAACCTTTGCTTAAGGTTTATCTAGTTTGAACACTATTTTATAATTTCTGTGCAGCAAAGTAATTTTTATAACTCTTGTCCATTTTCTTGAGGTTTGCCTTATTGTTTTTAACACCAGTAAAATCTATTTCTTTCTTGTTGAAGATGATCTTAAAACAGAGCATGCTGTTGGAAAGGGAAAGGGGATTCTCCTCAGGTGGTATCACAACCCCAATGTGTCTTGTGACTACGTGATTAAATGGTGCAACTCATCTCAGTCCAAACCCTGCCTAATGGACTGGAAGAAAGTTCCTTCCAACAGCACTGAAGCTTTAATAGAGTCTGGTAAGATGAACTAGTGTCTCTTAATTAAAGTTTTTCAAAAATATTTTTAAAAAGCGACACAGTTGTGACTGGGTACATTGAAGTGATCATTCTCCTTTCCCACTGGGTGGGTGTGAGTTGGTTTAACTTTCCTAGAAGGTGGTTTGTGGTAGTATGTGTGTAAAAGGATTCAAACCCTTTGTTCTAATTACTTGTCCAGAAATTTATTCTAAGAACTAATCACAGAACAACACAGATTTACATCTATGATTGTTCACAGCATTATTTATAATTGTGAAAATTTCAAAACAATTCAAATTGGGAACAAGGAAATGAGTAAATGATGGTACGTCTGTAATATGGAGTGTTAATAAGTAGCATTAAAAATTCTGTCAAAGATTTAACAACATGAGGAGATGCTCATGAAAAAAGACTACAAAATAGTACGCGGTATGGTCTCCCTCATCATTCCTTGGCCTTTTGCCCACGGCCCAAGTCACTGAGGTTTGGAAGAGACTGGACGTGAAGGACTTGCACCCATTACCACTTTCCCTGAGGCAGGGCAGGGGCATCCGTGTGGGAGTGGGCACAGTGTGGGTGGGGGCTTTGACTGCTGATGAGCCGGGAGCCTCGTTGGGTGCACTGCTGATGTGATGCAGCCTGAGAAGTTTAGCCACCGAAGACTCGATAACCTGCAGCCTTGTCCTCTGGAATTAGAGCTCTCTTTCCAGTATCATCATTCCTTCTGAGTAGCTGCTGAGGGTGTGTCGTGCTTGTCCACATGGGATTCCTTGAACCTGTAGAACACCAGTTGTCTGCACGCTCAAAAGTGAGATGGTCAGTCTCTAAAGTCATACAATCCAAAGAAAAACATGATAGACTTGTCTCAATTTTAACTTTTCTTCATGGAGTAATTTTCCTTAAGTGTTTGCTATGTGCTGGCAAGTACTAGGTAAATATTAACGGAAAACTCAAACCTTACAGGGTTTAGTTTTGTAACCTTACAATACTCACAAGCTCTGTGGGCACATGATAGGAGAACTAATGCTTTAGCTACACTACAATAATTGCATTCCACAAATTAAATGCAATCCCATATGCTGCCATTTCCCCCCCAGGCATTGTCTTCTTCCTAGACTACCACTGATGACAAGGCACTGTCCACATGTCACTTAATGGTGGCTTTCTCTGATCTTCTCAGGCTCTCTTGGTCTCTCATTTAAGGTTCCACAGCATCTGATATGCTCCCCTAGTGTAACACATTGTCATGCGATCACCTTTGCTCATCTGTCTTCCCACTGCTCTGCCAGCACCTCCATGCCAGCAGCCTTGTTTTGTGCATCTCTTGTTCCCTCGCTTTCACACACTGCCTTGTACCGGGGAGGCATTTAAAAAGGACTTCTTGAAATGAAGTTAAGGTACTTCCCTTGACTGTCTTGTGGAGTTAACTCACCCAAGGACACTTAACGCAATGCTGCAAAGAGCACTCTAAGGCCCAGTTCCTTTAACACTGCAGCTTCAAGGTGGAGGGGAACTTTTAGTTCTGCTTCTTGGAGCACAGAGAGAGCAGTGGTTTCTTTCTAACCCAGACATAACACTCTGTAGGGAAGGGATTTATAGAGACATGATGGGGACCTGGAATGGGTTAGTAAACTAACCCTAGATGAATTCTGGGAAGAAGTCGGCATTATTTGATTTTCAGGAACAAAATGTAATCCTTGATCACCTTTTTTCTCTTCAAGGCGATGTTATCTTATAATACTAAACTTTCATTACAATTGAAGTGAATTGTTCAGTTTTTGTTTAGTCAGTTTTCACTCTGAATATTTACCAATTTTGAAAATTCAAATGTAGTGTTTTATAAGAGGAAGACATCTATTTAAAATTAGCTTTGGAAATTTTGGAGTAAGTTATTATAAATTTGATATTTCTAAAATAGATATTCATAGTTATATATATGTGTTATATATAAAAGATGGTTTTGTGTGTGTGTGTGTGTGTGTGTGTGTATTTATGGAAGTTTACTGATTTGTGTTCATTCTACAGATCAGTTTCGACCAGGTGTAAGATATCATTTTTTCCTGTATGGGTGCAGAAATCAAGGTTATCAATTATTACGTTACATAATTGGATATATAGAAGAATTGGGTAAGTTAAGTGGGTAAGCTTATCTTTTAGAATTCAAGGTAACATGAAAAATTATAAATTGAAAACAATAGTAATAGTAGAGTCTAAAAATAGATTGAATTAAAATGTTTAGCTCAAGGAAGGTAAAATAATTCGTACAATGAATTTAAAATTATTTGATTACTTATTCTTAATCCATTTGTTTAATTTTTATATTTCACAATTTTACTGTTGTCATTGAGAAAATTAAATCTTAACTTGGATGTCAGAAATATTTAATTTGCACTTACACAAGTTTTAAAAACTATTAACTTAACCAGGATTATCAGTAAAGATAGGAAATATAAATGAAGTCTGTTTGAGTAGTCATTGGTTGCTCCCCTAGATACATGTCTTGTCTAAAAGTTGCATCGTAAGTTCTACTTATTTTCTAAAAATATTTTTTGGTCTAAGGCTATTAATGTATAAGCTTCATGATAAGAGTGTTTATAATAATATCTCTGAAAGTTTATGATTAAATAGAGAATAAAGGTTTACTTCCAAGGACAGCTGTTATTGAGGCTAGAAATCTCATGAAACGTGGTCTTACTCTGGGTTAATAAACTTTCCTTCAGCAATTGCCTTTTTCCTTTTACAGCTCCACTTGTTGCACCAAATTTTACTGTTGAGGATACTTCTGCAGATTCAATATTAGTAAAATGGGAAGATATTCCTGTGGAAGAGCTTAGAGGCTTTTTAAGAGGATATTTATTTTACTTTGAAAAAGGAGAGAGAGACACATCTAAAATGAGGGGTTTGGAATCAGGTAGGTAAATTAATAGCCTGAGTGTAGTGTATTTAGAAGTGTCTCGTTAACCACAAAAGAGAAAAGAAGAAGAAAGAAAATGCTGCGGGATAGTTTAATAACTGGTTTCCAAAGCTGTCTGAAAATTAGGAAAGTGAAAATGCAGTTGTAATATGAATGAGAGTTTTAAGATTTTAGTATGTAATAAATGACATGTGCAGTCTTTCAGAAGTCATTTAAATCATTTATCCTGAAGCCTTTGTACTTACGATAGTGGAGGAGAAAAACTCAGGAATCCAAAGAATGGCTTCATAGTCTCCACTGAGCCTCCCTTGTTATCTGCCAAAGAGCCATCAGCAAGTTAGCCTCTTCCTTAGCCACGGCCTTAGTGAGCTGGGAAACCTAATTGACTTGATTGAGGATGTGCATATCCATTAAATCTTAAAAAGTACAGACAGTCCTTGACAGTTGGTAAGTGTATGTCCAAAGACCTTAACGAATTCTCAAATTTAAAAATACAAAACTGTTTATACAGATTTCTGACTTTTCAAATTATATTTATGTTGGGAGTCGGATGTTTCTTATTCATAGCTGCATAACACAGCATATCATCTTTTCAATTTGAGGGCTTTCCTTTCCCTTCATGGCCTCTCCTGGAAAGAAGCCTTTTTAATTATTTAATGCCTGGCTGCCAAGTAGTGCACAGCAGCGCTGCGTGGAGATGCTCATCGGGCATTATCTAAGTCACTCCACAGAGCAGCCGCATGAAGTGTGCACCTCTCCCCAGGGCACTGAGTTCTGCATTTCTTGAACTTTCACAGTTGCCTGGATGAGGAAAACCCTAAAAACCAAATTCGACAAACATCCAGAATCTAGTGCAATGTTCCTCAGATGCTCAGAAAATTTCCTCTTAAACCAGTTAAAATTCTAACATCTGGCTTTCAGTTAGACCTGGTGGACTGGTCACTAAAGTTAAAGGAGAAAAAAAAAAACCATAAAGCCACCAGGAGAAAGAGAGCAAAAGAGGCAAGACAACCCCAAAAAAGAGGAGTCCAAAATTGGGGGGTGAAGTAGGGCGAATGACTTAAACAAAGTGGTCAGTCATTGAAAAGTGATTTGATTCATCCCGCAGGACCAGGTATTGGAGGCAAATGGTTAGGATGAATCTGGGCTGAGTAAAGGGGGTTGATTGAAGAAAATCTCCCTGAACTGAGGGACCTGAGTATATAGAGTAAAAGGATCCATTAAGTAAACAGTAAAATAAATAGAAAAAGAATCTGTGCCACGGTGTGTCATGAATTTTCAGAGTGCCTAATGTATGAAGAGAAAGCCCTAGAAACGATCAGAGAGAAACAGGTCAGGAGTAAGGATGGCGGCAGGCTTTCCAGCAGCGCTCCAGACACTAGCAGGTACCACAGCCGTGTCTTCAAAATACTCAGGGAAAATGAAGTTCAACCTAAAATTCTGTGCTCTGCCAGTCTGTCAAGCAATATGAGAGTAGAATGATGACATTTTTAGATACACAAGGCTGCAAGTATTTCCTTCCCCTGTGTTGCTTTTCTGAGGAAGCTACTAGAGGAGTGCATCAAAATGGGGAGATGCAGTGAGTGAGGAAGACGCAGGAAGCAGCAGAGCGGAGGGCAGCGCAGGAGAGACGACTTCAGACACTTAGAGAACCAATCATAGGCGGGTCCGACTTGGGTTGTGGTGGTTTTTCATGCTCTTAGTAACAGAAAGGCAAGTGACTTTATGGGTTGCCAGCTATATGCCAGGCATTATTCCGGAGGATACGTATGAGAACTTCACACAGTCCTGTGAGGTGAGTTGTGATCTCTACTTCATAGTTAGAGATCTCAAGTAGAGAGCGAGGTTAAGAGGGTGGCAGCCTGCAATGCTTCCAGTGCGCTGCAGAAGGCAGGGCAGGAAGAAGGTGTGGAACTGGGAGTTTGGTGTGTTTCACCACGTGGAAAATTGTATTGAGTATTCATTGGAGGATGTGGGAAGAATTAGGAAGTGGCACATAGAAAATCAAGCATATGAGGGAAAAAAGCAATTATAACAGGAGAAAAAGAAAGGAAACATAATTATACTGAGCAATTTGTCTTAGCAGTAACCCATATTTCTGTGAGCATAGTAAACACTGAATTCACCAGATGTTCTGATGTTTCTATATGAGTGCTGTGGCAGGGCAGAAAGGGTAGTGGTAGTGTGAAAAGAGCTAAATCTTCGTCTATCCTTACAGGAGTAGATGATGTCTAAAATTTAAAAGTCAACTAGCTATCTAAATTTGCTTTGTTGAAATATGGAGGTAAATTTCCAAAGAAACTGATAACATGAAGTGATTGTAGAGATAAGGGGAGGGGCTGGTAGGGAACTGCTAGTTTTTGTTATTAGTCATTTAGTGCTATTTATTTTTTTAATTATCGTCTTGCATTATTTTGGTTAAGATTTTTAAAAATAATAGTGTAAACAATTCTTCACACTTTTCTTTTGAAGTTGATTCACAGGCTTCCTCATTCGTCTCTCATTTGAGAATTCCCAAAGCACTGATTTGTTTTCTGAGTGGTTTGAAGTCGTCTCTATTGAATTGCCCTCTGCTCCCTGCAGTCTCTCCCTCTGACTCATAGGTAGGATCAGGCTTGGGTTATGGTGGTTTTTCATGCTCTTAGTAACAGAAAGGCAAGTGACTTTTATTGATTGCCAGGTATATGCCAAGCATTATTCTAGGGGATATGTATGAAAACTTCACACAGCCCTGTGAGGTAAGTTGTGATATTCTACTTCATAGTTAGAGATACCCAAGTTGAGAGTGATTTAAACATGACTGTTGGCTGGCAGAGGTGGAACTTGAGTGTGGCTCTGGCTGGCTCCAGAGACCTTGGCAGGGGGTGTCCAGCAGCCAGACTCACCTGAAAGGGCAGTCAGTGTCACAGGTATAAGTAACCATATGATTAAAATGGTACAGGGATTAGTAATATTTTTCATTTTAAAAATAGGTCGTTCCGATGTAAAGGTTAAGAATATTACTGACACATCCCAGAAGACACTGAGAATTGCTGATCTTCAAGGTAAAACAAGTTACCACCTGGTGTTGCGAGCCTACACAGATGGAGGAATGGGCCCAGAGAAGAGCATGTTTGTGGTGACAAAGGAAAATTGTAAGTTAAATATTGCTGTTGAGGTGCTTTCTTAATGCATAGTGTTTCTAGCAATTTCTGGTTTATGTGGGAACCTCTCACCACCCCCCTTTTATTTTTAATTTTACATTTTGTTGCATCTTTGTGGTGTGTAGAGGTCAGTGTTAAAAGCCTATGAGATGAATTCATTTTTTTCTTGTCAGTTATTTGAAGCTATTTCCAAATGGCTACCCAAGAAATTCATGAATTAGATATATCTGAAGTCTAGAGGTCTAAATTCATGTTCAAGTTATATAATGATCAACCTGTTTAAAATGTTTTACTCCAGCTGTTTTGTGATTTTTAACATATCCAGGGAAAAGTGAAAGAAATATTCCAAAAAAATTGTGTGCAGCACAACACTCATATATTTGAGATGAAAGAAAAGAGTGATGTCCTTGACTGTCTTTAACTGGATCACGGGCTTATCTTCTACCCTTGAGTTGGAGTTCATGCACAGCTCTTAAATAAAAAGCCACTGGCCAGATAAATGAATGAATGAGTGAATGAATGAATGATCACATACACACACTCATACATAATCTATGAGGATATGATTCTCTAAAGCAGTGATTCTCAGTGGTGGTGGGAGTGGGTGGCACTTGGCACTGGCACATTTTTGGTTGTCATAATTGGGGGGTACTACTGGTATCTAGTGGTTAGAGGCCTGAGGTGCTGCTAAACCTCCTACAGTGCACAGGACAGCCCCATCCCCACCCCCAAGGAAGAAACGTATCTGGCCTAAGTTTTCGAAAGTGCCGAGGTTGAGAAATCCCACTTCAAAGAATTTAAATATAGTATAAAAATCATTAGTATAATATTAGCAAGTTTTTTAGTGTCCTGGAGCTGTTAATTTTGGGTTTTTTCCCCCCAATAATCTACCAATCTACATATATTCTAATATAAATTTATTCATACTTTATATCAAAAATGGTGATTTTAATATTTGCAACATTCTCTTTTCAGCTGTGGGATTAATTATTGCCATTCTCATCCCAGTGGCAGTGGCTGTCATTGTTGGAGTGGTAACAAGTATCCTATGCTATCGGAAGCGAGAATGGTAATGGTAACTGTGTTTACTCTTGCTGTTTTGTTCTTAAGGGCATGATTATTTAGTTTATGCACTAATAAGTACATCTTTTAAATTATAATGAGTTAGTAAAAAGTATTTGTTTTAGTCAGAATTAATGTTGAATTTTAAATTAAGCAAGAACATGACATATTATTTAAAAGTTTTAAAACTAAGAGTAAAAGTGTAAATTTTCCCTACTATTTTTACTAATAAGTTAAAGTAGCAATTGTACCAAAAAAATTTATTTACAGGTATTAATATGGCAATAGCTGTCTGCAAGGTTAAATGTAATTTAATGATTAAGATCTCACTTGTCTTAGGGACCTATTTAGAAAATCTAGTCATTTTTGGTCATTTACTCATTTATTCAACATATATGAAAATGGCAAACAGAATAAGCATGGTCCTTATAGACTCACAGCATAGAGGGGAAGAGGGACATTAAACCATAAGCATCCAATACATCTGTGTTTGCAGAGTGTGAGTGGGTACCAGGAAGGAAGGGAACCAGGGGCCATGAGGAGACTAACAGGGGACCATGTCATGGGAGGTGGTCAGCCAAGGCTGCTCTGTGGGAGAGTCCTAAAGGGTAAGGAGAGGGAAAAGAATATTCCAGATAGAGAGAATAGCTTCAGAGAGAGTCCTGCAATTGCAAAGAGCTCAACCTTCTGGACAGAGCCAGAAGAGCCGTGTGGCCGGGTGAAGTGGGAGAGAGCACCGAGTGTGCGCAGTATGGTCAGGCCAATTGGGAGGAGCCATCCTGGGCTGCTGTTATTCATACACAGGTCCTCACTGGCCTTAAAAATGTCACCATTTGTGACACAGAAGATAAAGTATTCTAGCAATCCTGGCTAATAAAATAGTAATAGTTGTAGAACTATAGAATAGCCTATTTTGGTAACTATTACTGAGTATCACATTTTAAAGAGAACTATTTGAATATAAAAAAAAAATACAGGGTAAGAAGGGAATTTAGAAATTAGAGTATTTTAGGCTCACGTTAACAAAGTTATTTTTCCTGCAGGAAAAATAATAAAGTTCTTTTTAATAGCTGTAAATATAAACATATGATATAACACTGACTTAGAAAAATCTCATTTTTGTTTGCATGTAGTTTTTGCTCAAGAAACAGCCTTTCGTTTTCTTAGCACAGCAGGTAACATACTCAGAACACACGGTTATCACCTTTATCACTCACTGTTTTTTAACCTCCTCAGTAAAGCAGTTGCATAGCGCCACAGCTGTTCCTTGCATAGTCCAGATCGTGTTATGAGCAGAGAACTGCGTAACCCAAATATGTTCCCTAAGTAATTGATCATGCTTAATCCAGTTTGCAGTTGAAAATTCTGGTTATATGAACAATGCCTGTATTTTATTTTGGGCTTGATAGCACAATTACTATCTTAATTACTTTTCATTTTCATGAGATACATAAGGTATTATAGTTCTAGAAATAGAATTACTGTTAATAGTTTTCAAATTGGAACCTCTCTGTGCATTGTATAGAAAGCTGTAGTGAATGATCACACAGTAAAGATCTTCCATTTTTATCTCAAATGTTCATTAAAGTATTTATATGAAACATCAAATAAGCCTAATGATTTATTATTTGCTGTTTAGTTAATAATCTTGTAATTATTAAATTTACTTAATTGTTCTTTATTTAAAGGATTAAAGAAACCTTCTACCCTGATATTCCAAATCCAGAAAATTGTAAAGCATTACAGTTTCAAAAGAGTGTCTGTGAGGTAATCTTTCATTTTCTTACATTTATCTTCTTTTCTTCATCTTTCGTGAAAAGTTTTTAACATGTAAATCCTAAATAAAAAAAGTATTGAGAAAATGGCATGCTTCAACATCTGCTGAGTTTCTAAAATTATTAATCTTAAATTGCTTATACCATGCTCTGTTTTCCTAATACTATTAAATAGCAAGGAAAATACCAGTGTGGAGGAAAAACGTGACTTTGTGTGTACTACGGAGTAGTAGAGGCAAATGTTTGTGAAAAAAATATAAAATATGCCCCTTTTTGCAGGAGGAGCATTGCAATAGCATTTAGTGCTATTCTTAATCACTGTTTTTAAATTTATTTCCAGGGAAGCAGTGCTCTTAAAACATTGGAAATGAATCCTTGTACCCCAAATAATGTTGAGGTTCTGGAAACTCGATCAACTGTTCCTAAAATAGAAGATACAGAAATAATTTCCCCAGTAGCTGAGCGTCCTGAAGATAGCTCTGATGCAGAACCTGAAAACCATGTGGTTGTGTCCTATTGTCCACCAATCATTGAGGAAGAAATACCGAACCCAGTAGCGGATGAAGCTGTAGGGACTTCACAAGTCATCTACATTGATATTCAATCAATGTATCAGCCACAAGCAAAACCAGAGGAAGAACAAGAAAATGACCCAGTAGGAGGAGCAGGCTATAAGCCACAGCTGCACCTCCCCATCAGTTCTACTGTAGAAGATATAGCTGCAGGAGGTGACGTAGATGAAACTGCAGGGTACAGACCTCAGGCCAATGTAAATACTTGGAATTTAGTGTCTCCAGACTCTCCTAGATCCACAGACAGCAACAGTGAAGTTGTCTCGTTTGGAAGTCCATGCTCCATTAACTCCCGACAATTTTTGATTCCTCCTAAAGATGAAGACTCTCCTAAATCTAATGGAGGAGGGTGGTCCTTTACAAACTTTTTCCAGAACAAACCAAATGATTAACATGTCACCCTGTCACTTCAGTCTGCCATCTCAATAAGCTCTTATTGCTAGTGTGACCACGTCAGCACTAAGCATTCTTGGAGGGATCCTGTGAAGTATTGTTAGTGAGATGGACTTCACTACGTGCGAGTTACACTAAAAGTGTTAAAGTGCTTTTAACATAATCTAAAAGCCAAAGTATAGTGACTCAGAATCCTCAGTCCACAAAATTCAAGATTTGGAGCCATTTGTGATCGAGCCAAAGAATTCTCAAGTGCTCTACCTTCTAGAAGCATTTCAAGCTTAATACTGTCTAGTACATAAATGCAAAACAAATCCCACAGTCACTGTTTTCCATTCTGTTGTTAATGGTTTCCTTGTATGTATGTTTTATGGAACTGCAAATGGATTTGCGGGCAAGGAAGTAAATTGTCAAAGTGACAAATGATGTTTATTTTCCTGACATTTACTCCATTCTAGATGAAAACCAAGCACAGATTTTAAAATGTTTAAGATTCTCCTCCTCTGTCCATAGCATTTACAAAAATTAATATAATTTTTAATGTAGCAACAGCTATTTGGTGTTTTGTTTGATAAAATATGCTGATTTCTGTGCCTACTGTATAATGGTTATCAAACAGTTGTCTCAGGGGTACAAACTTGGAAAATGAGTGTGACACTGACCAGCCCCAATCAGAATTGTGTTTCCTTGCTTTGTAGGTTTTTCAAACTTTTCTATTATTTTTTAACTTTTATGTTAGCTTCCATTATTGCAGTTGGTTGCCCTAATATTTGAAATTTAAATTTCTAAACCTGTAGATCCAAGTTTTATTTTTAAATTCATTTTATTTTGTGATACAGTGTCAGCTTTATATGAGCAAATTCAATATTATTTATAAGCATATACTTCCAGTGATTTACTATGTCAGATGACTACTAAGCAATATCTAGCAGCATTAATTATCCATGTAGTTTTAATTGGCTTTAGTGCCTCCTGCAAAGACCGTATTATTGAGCCCATAGTCCTGGCAGTGACCTTTGCCACCTCCTTGCTGGTGTTCCTCCTGCTTGTGAGTCTTAGCACTTCCTCCTTAAATGATCAGTCCCGACTCTAATCCAGTCCTCAAATTTTCAAATATAGAACTAAAGAGATAATGCTTCTTATAAGAACAGTTACTCAAGGGCTATTTCCTCTGTCATTAAACTGATTCAAATCAATGGGCATACCTGTAGTACAGGTGCAGCATTTGCCAGGTGAGCTCTGCAGTGCAGTTGTCTTCATTGCAGCATCCTCTGCCCACCCTTGTTTCTCATAAGTGATGTCTAGGGTGATTGTGGTTCTTTGAAAAGCAGAATAAAAACTAAAAAGTGTATCCAGTATTTTCCCTGCCCTCAGGTTGCCTATGTATTTTGTCTTTATTTTTTTGTCTTTTTCGTGACCGGTAAGGGAATTGCAACCCTTGGTGTGGTGTCGCCCACACTGTGCTCAGCCAGTGAGTGCACCGGCCAGTCCTATATAGGATCCGAACCCGCGGCAGGAGCGACGCTGCACTCCCAGTGCCGCACTCTCCCGAGTGCGCCACGGGCTCGGCCCTATGTATTTTGTCTTTTGATAGTTAAGGCAAAAGTACTTGAAAATTTGAAATATCTGAATAAGTTAACAAATGCTTGTTTTTTATCATCTGAGGTTCTGTAATGTATTTGCAAATAATCAATTATTTTTTTCTAGCTCATAATGTATCTTCTTAAAAATTATGTGGAAAAAAACCATAGGGTAACAATGGACAAGATCTGTTTATGTACTCTGTGTATGAACCCTGGTTTTAACTGCTAGGATTCAACTGAATTCCTGAGCTTCATGATATATAGGTATGTGGAATGAAATACAATTAATTATGTTCATACATAGTATATTTAAACAATATAATAGCTCATAGTAATTTTCAGTAATGAAAAACATATCAAACCAGAGCCATCCCTAAACAGAATTTTCTTTTGTCTTCCTTTTTATTCTCTTTGGCTCCTTCTCTCTCTTAGATGCTCCAGACACTTAGTCCTGGAGCTGCCTTCTGTCCCCTCCAAAGCTTGTTACCATACTCTGCTTACCCTCAACTTATGCCACCTCATTCCCCATTAGAACTTAACAGTCGCATTCTTTATCGCTTTAGGACAAGCATAAGTGTTGGATAAGGTAAAAGCTTATTAATCTAAGCTACACTAACCTGAGGTAACAGGAAAAGGCCAGAAGAGACTGTTTTATCTCTGTCATCAATATATAAGGCTACTTCAAAAAGTGCATAGAAAGATTCAGATTATCTTTCAATTCTATTTTTCCATGAACTTTTTGAAGTACCCTCGTACATGCATTTCAACTGTGACCACCTGGATTCAGTGACCTTTGTAACCTATATAAAAACTTATTTGTTTGGCTAATGGTGAATATCATGGGCTCTTGAGTCCTTTCATTCTGTACAAACTTCACTGCTTTTCCTGTATGAAAGAAGTTCAGAGTGCTGTTCACCTCTCTCCTACCTCTGGAGTTCCGTACACAAGGATCATTCAGTTAATGAGAAGCAGAGTAATGCTCTACTAGTCTGGGCACACTCTGTATAACTTGCTGTATGCTTAGAAGATTGTGCTTTAGGTCTGAGGCCTAAGCAGCTTTCCTTGTCTTTGCCCGTTGAATTGAAGACAGCCAGCACATTGTCACCTCTCTTAAAAGCCAATTCACTTATAAGCCAATTTCAAATCAAACTTCCCTTGTGAGGAATGAGATTCTGGGGGTCATTATGACTGCATTTCTTTTGTGAGTGGCTATTTTATATGAACAATATTTAATATAAAAATATTCTTAAAGACTTAGCTAGGCTTTTGACACTAGGTAGACCTTGTGAGTTACGTATTGTATGGATTAGCACACACATGCGATATAAGTCAATTTGTTGAACCTATAGAGCCTTGGATTTTAGATTGTGGCCCTGAGTATCTGGATAGTTGAGTTGTTTTTATGTGCTTATGTGATAGAGGTGCTTTGTTCCTGCAGCTTAGAAACAGAAGCAGCCATTCATTGAAAAGTTTAAAGGAGGAAGTATCAGCCTCATTTTCCATACCAGCATTACTTCCACGGCTCATGGATCTGAAGGATTGCATTTAGAACATCTAGTTCTGTTGCACTCTCAGAAACTGGTAAAAAGTCACATTCTCAGAACTTCATGTAAATTGTATTCTTGTTAGAAATTAGTGCTGTAATTTCTTAATTGTCTTCATACTGTCCACATTTAAAGAACATAACAGTCCTTTCTGTATTTGGATAATTACATGTAGTTTAGTGAAGGAAAATAGGGAATGTTTTCTTCCAAAGGGAATTTGAAATCCATTTTATGGTATTTTAAAATCACAGTACTCCTTAATATGTCAATATTCAAAAAAAATGTTATCTCAAAGTTTTCCACTGATGAGGCACATACTCTGATAAAACTTTTTTTGTTTGTTTGCTGTAAGGTAATTTTTGCTGTTTTCTATTTTGAACTATGTTATAAAAGGTATAAAATTGTATACCTTTTATAAAAAGGCACTTTTTTTCTTATTTTGAAAGTATTAAATTGGGCATGTCGAGAGTAAAATGTGGGATCATTAGCTACAAAAACTAGACCCAGTGAAAGTTTAATAACTATTCATCGATTGAATCCCATCCCAGAGTGCTGCAAATTCAACAGAATTTTTCTGAAGGGTGGTACATACCAAGATCTAGCCTGTGTACATCTGAGACTACTGGCTTAAAGACTCAAATCCAGTATAGAAGTGAAAACATGGGAAAGACTCATGCTTCTACATCACTAGATACTTATTTCTCCATAATTTTTAAGTGATCATAGTTTCTCTTTTTTTGATAGGAACATGTTTGTACCAAGCAGAATGTGTTCTGGCAAACAAATTATACATTGATCTGTGAGCTTAATTGGTTAATATAAGTACTCATTCTCTTGATGAAATATTTCCTCAAAGCATTTATTTGAAACTGGTATTTTCCTGAAACATAGTTTCATGGTGTCATACCCGTCTTGTCTTTTATATCCAGAAGAAAATTTTCATCAGAAGAAAATGATTTCTGGCCAAACTTATAGAACATGCATCTTTTAGACATAGCCTTAGAATGTCATTGAAATTACTTGGTTTGAATTTGGTTTATTTATATATTAATGGATTATGTACCAGGGCTATTAATACTTAAACCTATTACTTCGCTACGTTGGTTAGGTTTTATTCCTTTTTAATTAGTGCTTTTGTCTTAACATTTTTGTGAAAACTGAAAGTAGTGTTTTAAGGCTGAAGCCCTCTCAATGTTTTTATGTGTAAGTGCCTAGGTGAAGAACCATAGAATCAATAAATCCAAAAGTTATAATAAGTAAACTATAACAAATTGAACATTAACCAAATACAAAGCAGTGATAACTTACGTTACTTTTTGGTTGCTGGAACTGAATACCCTAAAAACTAAGAGATGTGAATAGGAAAAAAACGAATGTCTAATTGATAAGTATATTGATTTTTATTACATCACATATGTCTTCTGAGATTGCCTTTGCCATCAAAACTTAAAAAAAAAAAGAACATAGATTTACGTTGCACTTAGCATGAAGTACTTTGCACACCTGATTGAATAGCCCACTTAAATTTATTGAATTTCATTATACATTTAAAATGTACTTCCCTTTAGAATTATTCCTTTTGAAATGGGTAACTTTCACCTTCTGAACTTACTATTCTTCCTAAGCATTCCAGCAGTGTATTATAAAAGATAAAAAGATTTCTAGGTGGTAATACAATTTTCATTAAAACATGGATAATTAACTGTTAGGTTTAACATTATTATATTTGCATTTGATCATAGAAAAGAACACTGAATGATGGTTTTTGTAAAAACATTTTTCAAACATCCTTCCACTAATTGATCCCAAATACTTCCCCCATTTTCTAAGACATCGTAAGCTAGTGGTTCCTTCTATTTTGCTTTTTCCTTCTAATGCAATATTTAGGAAAAATATGAATAGCATTGTGGATAGTTGAAGACAATGCAAAAAAAAGAACCCTATTCAGTTCCTTGTGGGGAGGGGTGGGTATTATGTGATCGATACCCTAAGATTTGGTCTATCCTATTATTTTCTCAAAAAGGAGCATGGCTTTTTCTTACATACATTTCAATTCAGAATTGCTTGAAAAAGATTGGCCTGGCTAGAAAGGTAGGCATCCTAAATTTGAGATTGTACCACCTTAAAGGTATGTTCGAAGATAAAATAAATCATTTAAAAATACTCAACTTTCCTAGTAGTTTCTACATTTTCTTCTCTTTCATTAGCTGGCCATAAATCAATGCACTAGGAAATAACCATTTTTTACTTTCAAAATTGCATTATAGTGAATTACTGTTTACAAAATACACATACTGTGAACAGATACAAGTTTTTGTCTTTTATAAGGTTGTTTGTAGAATGAATGTTTTTTTTTAAAAGGGATGTTATATGTTAATATTTTCAGTTTTTTATAAATACTAGTAACTGTTTACTAATTTTTGTTTGGTCAGGTGTGTATAAATGTAGCTGAAAGAAAATAGGGAGAAACTGCAGATCCGAAACTGTTCCCTTTTTCATTTCTTGCAATGTTACCACTACAGACTTTTTTTTTTTAACATGAATGATCAATTGTGATGTGTTGTACCTAAAATCATGTTTAACCATATAAGGAAACATTTAAATATACATATACAGGAAGTAAACTATAGATGGAAGTATATTTGTGTGATTCAGTCTGATTCACAGAATTCTGTGTTTAATATGGAATAAAACAACTCCACTTACAGAGATGACAATTGAAGTATTTCCAGCCTTGTGAAAATTTGGATATTATGTTGCCGTAAGAAAGGGAAATTTGGACATTTTATATCATCATATAATTTCAGGATTTAGTTTCCATATCATTTGGAAAACATGATTATAGCAAGAACGTAGAATATAAGTAACCTATTACTAAGTCACCATAAATATAAAAGTAGTATGCTTGGCTGTTAACTCTAAAGATATTACTTATGTCTGTTTTTAAAACATGCATGTATTTAACAATTTTCTCATAGTATTGTCATGGAAAAAATAAATATATTTTCTTACATCTTACACTGACAGATTTGGGCATTATTATTTTGTTTTTTTCCCTGCTGTTTTAAGTACTTAGGAAAAGTGGCTTCTGCTTTGTTGTTGTTGCTGCTGCTGTTAGTATTTTTGATTATGTCCCATAAGAATTACAGTGATTAGTTATCAAGTAGTCATATAGGTCTATGGTTACATTTTTAATTTTTGAATACATTGCTGTGCCATTGGTATAACCTGCCATCTGTTC